ATATGTACAGTTTATAAATAAAAGAAACACAAACCGAAGTAAGAGAACTGAACTGAGCCTGGATCTTAAAACCTACCCCCCAAACCTCTGCAGGTGAGGGCCACGTTTAGGTCCAGTTGTTGACAGTTGCAGGGGAGGGAGATGGGGGGAAGGTGTGTGTGGGGGGGAATCTCTACTGTAACGAGACTTTGTCCTGATTGGAATTTCTTTTCATACTGGCTCAGGAAACCGAGCAACAGTTCCAGAGGGTGTTGGCACTGGAACTTTAACGAGTTTAATAACTCGCTGTGGAAGGATTTAAGCGTTCCTGCGATTTCAGCAGAACAAGGTGTGTTCAGTAATTTGTAATTTTGAGGTTAACCAGGAGTTTCTGACAGCTTGGGGGCGGGGGGGGGCAGGGGGAGCAGTGCCTTGGCTTGTGGTTGAGGAGAAGATTAAGCTGTACTGAGCTTAGCGTCAGTACCAACCCATTGGTTTGTGGGTGGTTCCTTTTTCCGGCTCTTACGGAGAGCACTGACTGCATCCCAAAATTACTTCCATGTATGAATGGAAACACGTTGCTGGTGGGACGCCCGCCCCGTGCCCTGTCAGCGTTTCCATTCCTCTATGTTACTTCTCTCTTGACAAACTTCTGTCTCTCGCAACGCAAGTATTTTGGAACTCAGAAACACTCAGCTCTAAACGCACATCTCAGGGCATCAGCAGTTTAAAGTCGTCTTTGTGCAGGGGTCTTTTACAATGTGCTTGCCCCCGAGACAGTGGCGGGTGGAAGTGTACGTACCCAACGCTTGACAGCACCCTGTATGTTCCTAACCTGTCTGGGTCTTTCTCCAGCTGGAACCTTGCCAGTTTTGTGAGGGTCTTCAAAGCCATCTGTGCTAAGTCTCCAAAACGCAAAGGTACTTGTCATAAATATTTAGTGATTACTTTTCTCGGAGGAGCTCCGTTTGGGGGTCTGCTGTGCGACTGCACCACTCTGCAGGCGTTGGCGGGGCGTGGAGACCTCAGTGCAACACGTTCGCTCCTCCGGGGACCAAGCTGCACCGGGCTTGGCCCAGGGCTTCCAGGGAACAGAAAAACGTTTAGGAAAAAAAAAAAAAAAATTAAAAATAAAAAAAAAGCAGCTTTAATTTTGCAAACAATCGCATGTGAAGAATGCTGTTAGTGAGCCTTAGGGCTGTGGGGCGGCATGGCAACGCGGAGCTTACTGGCAGAGAGTGTCCTGCTCAGGCAGCCTAGGTAGTGTGAGGCTGGAGACGGTACCTAAGCTGTGCAGAGCCCAGTGAACATCCTAGGCCCCTGGACTGGACATTTACACATGGCAGGAGGAGCTAGGACAGGCGTTGAGCGGTGTATTAAACTTTAGTGGGAAGAACAGGCAGATGTCCTGTACACTGTACATTGTCATCCGTATCTCAGAGGAAGCGCTCTGGCTCCCGGCACGTGTGACCTGCTCTGAGAGTGGGACTCATGAAGCACTAACTTTAAAAAAAAAAACAAAAAAAACCAACAAAACCACAAACCAACAAACACACCGTGGCGGCAGGTCAGCGGCACAAGCCCCCGTTAAGGAGGTGACCCCTCCGCTGAGCACAACGTGTCTGCATGTGCCGAATCGGCGTGTTTCAGCAGTTAGGAAAAGTCTACTCCTGGCTTATGCCTGCACAGTGCTCCTGACAAGGGGGCTCTCGGTGGTGGCTGCTGTTCTTGGTGGTTACTCCCTTATGACCATGTTTTACATTCTTCAAGCCGGTTAATTTCCATGCAGTGCTCATTCCCAATTTAAAGAGGACAGTATTCCAGAAAATGGGATCTTTTTTTTTCTAATGCATACTGTGAAAGAAAAGAAATACAATTACCGATCTTCATGGTTCTTCAGGGCTTTTTCTTGTTTCTTTGTCTGTTTTTTTCTCCCCAGAAATAGTAAAAATCTCTGCACAGAGCATTACATCCCCATACCGAACCCTTTGTCAAGCAAGAAGCCGGCCATTTCACGTAGCCCCTCGCTCCCCCTCTACCACGCCGGGCACCAGGAACTCCAGCCCCTGCACCTCGTCCCCCGCTCGGGGGCCAAGCTCAGGCAACACCTCCTTCATCCTGCAGCTCGGAGCGCGCGGGGGCCGTGCTCGGGGGCTAGGGCTCACAAAAGCTCTTCCCCGTTTTTTGTGGGAGAGCAGAAGCTGTAGAGGAACCAAGTCCCCGTTCATCAGGTGCCACCTCCTCCCTGGGGCTTGCTCTGCCCCCCCCGGGGCTGCCCAGGGACCCCCAGGAGCCCCAGCAGCACCAGTCTCCGCTGCACTGGTTCCCCAGGCAGCACCCCTCTGGCTCCCACACCGCACAGAGTGCGCCCTGACCTGTGCTCCCTAGATGGGCGGAGTTAATTAAACACTAATTAGCTGGGTAGATGGACAGTCGCCTGCTGTAAAAGTCGGTGGCCTCACCGAAGCCACATTAGGAAAGGCTGGGCTCTGGGTTTGGTTTGGGAGGGGGCTGTGCTCCAGGGGGAGCCACAGGAGGAGCGGGCCAAGCTTTGCTGCCATCGCTCGACCGGCTACATCCAGCAGCACACTCTAACTGGACTTACTGGGCCACTGCCTGCTGCAGGCTCTGCCCAGCTCCCTTTATTTCGCTTACTGCAATGACCGGGACGTTATTGCTCGCTGGGAGGGGTGAGGCATATCCTTTGGGCAGTTTAGAAGGAAAAGGTTACTTCTGTTTAAACATTAAACACTGATTTGAATCCAACAGTGACAGCGATTCTCAAATGGATGTGATTTCCTTATGCCACTCATCTCACACTCGAGCTTTCCGTCCCCTCAATGTGCTGGCATTAGCATCTCCCACAGAGGCTCAGTCAAGCGCGCCGTCCGCAGCAAGGAGCTGGTTTCTCGGGGGGGGGCAGAGCAGCCGATCTTTGAAGCCGGGGCTCACACCTGCTGCTGCACGGTCTCTCTGGCCAGGCCTCCTCTCCTGCGGCAGCGCCCTCCGCGGGTTAACAATTACTGCTGTTTCTGAATTCTCCATTCTCTGTAATCTGCAATTTAGTTGGGTTTGTGGGGGAGATCCCATTACGTGTCTGCATGCTGTACCTCTCTTTCAGCTGAGTAAGGGCACTCATTAACCGTGCGTTGGCAGCATCCAGGGAAGCAATGCGTTTCTCCTGCAAACAGAGGGGAACAGTCAGTGGAAACGCAAGGAGCCCCGGCCCTCTGCGACGCCAGGGCTGGCCCTGGGGCAGCCACGTGGAGGCCTCTTGCACCAGGACCTTTCCCTTTGGCGTTCTTAGGTGCGGGTCTTTCAAGTGCCAGGCAGCATTTTTTTTAAATCCGCTGCTATTAGCAGGGCCACAAATGTCCTCTGCCTGTGGAATGTGAGCTACAGTCATTTTAGCATCCTGAACAAACTGGAGATAACATAGGTTCTCTAATTCTTCAGTTATACAGAATTTCGTTGTACTGTTTGCTCTAACTGCAGCTGTTACAAAGATGATAAGATTCCTCTTCTAAAACCTAGTGCTCTCCCAGGATAGTTATTCCTGTCACTGTTTAATTGATTTTGTTAGTGTAAATTAATAGTTTAAATAACTTGCGGCCTCCCAGGATGGCTTTGACGGCAGCTCTCGCTGATTACAGTATCGTAAGGATGGGAGCGAGAGCTCCCACGCCGCAGCCTCCTTCTGCCACTCTTTGCGACACCGAACAAGTCCTCGTCCTCCTCCGAGGGGACAGAGCCAGCTCGGAGGGGCACAGCACTTTGCCTGTGTCTAACTTCGACGGGCCAGGTATGAACACGCCCAGCGCTGCCGGACCGCCCGAGATGCCCAAAAGAGAAGAGTGTGGACTGGCTGGCGATGAGAGCCCCCCGCTGACAGGCAGGATGGCAGGAGAGGGGACAGCCCGCCGCCCGCACCGCTCGCCCCTTTCGGACGCCCCTGCAGCTGCCAGGCTTTGCCGGAGCGCGGAAGGGAACACGATGATTTACTGCCTTTGAACAAATTACTCTGCAGAAAAACGGTGGTTCTTTTTACAAAGTTACTACTGTCTCATCTCCTTTTTAATTAGCTATACAGTAAATTAGTCACGAGTAGTGACTCACAAGTGATGAACAGGGTTGTTAAGAGTAAGCCTAGAATATACTATCACCTAGCCACAACCTGTAGGAAGGCCCAGCTGCTGAGAAGATGCTTCTGCCTAGACAAATGAGAAGATTATGGACCGTATCTTCAGAGTCTCCTTTCCCAGCGCAGTGTTTTGCACCCATCATCTGATGCTCCTCGGCCATTGCAACCTGTAGCAATAACTGAGCTTCCCAATCCTGCAAACTACAACCCAAAGGCTGAAAAAAAACACGTTGCCTTTGCTCTGGCCAGGCTTTGAGTTCCTCATATCCAGGTCCTGCAAGCATTACTGGAACATGAAGCCCCAAGCAAAGCTCCGGGGACCTCCGACTGAGCCAACAAGGGTACAATCCTTCCACAGACTGGCTGAATTGTGGGCATGATCCTTCCCCAGATTGCCCCCTCCACCCCACCATATCCGCGGTGTCG